AATTTGTATTTCTTATTATTTATTGAGTCTTTTAAAGTATCGATAAAGATCTAAGTATTTAACGAATAAACTCGTTCTAAGAAGTCGTTTTGAAAAACTCACATATAAGCGGTTTTGCAAAATAGTAAAAACGAATAATCTTGACTCATACTTGAGCAAAGAATATTATAAGTTAATCCGTCAAAAAATATTTACAATAATTTTGCTATCTCTCTCTCTTGTTTATATATTTGAAAGCAAAGTATTACTAATTACTTGCTAAATACGATAAGAAAGAGTAAATTAATAAAAAAAATGTAGTAATACTTTTACAACCAAAGCAAAGGTCAATGCATGAGAATATAAAATAAGAACTTTTTCAAAACTATTATTCGCCGCATATAGCATTCTGCAGCGCATTAACAATACACTGAATGAAAACATTTGAAATAATTTAAAAAAGAATTTCCATTAGGTGGTAGTAATAGTCGATTAAATCACTGTTTATATGCCCTAGAGTATCGATATTCAAATGCATATTAAATGAACAGACAATTTGTTAAAAATGTGCTTTTTGGGAGACGCAATATCAATAACAATTCTGGTAACCATTTCATATAAAGATTTTGCATTAAGTAAATTATTTCATTTCAATTTACAAAGATTTTCTAATGATATTGACCAATTTATCCGAGCACATATATTCAATAGAAATTAATTAGCGAACTATCAAAAGACTCCTTAAATATTTCATCTCAGTCAGAGGTTAACCACTCCACTCCAAATGCGTGCAAACCACACAAAGAGATGCCCATCCATCTCCACAGCAGCAAATATTTCAAGTAATTACATACATTATAAGCAACGCTAAGTAAAGTTAGTAAATAAAGACGGTTAAGGTTCAGTTAAGAAGCCTCAATAAGTTTGATGCTTTCACACTCTACACTACTTGTGTATATTAACTTTGTGCGAATGTATACAACGTCCAGACGAACTTGAGATAAATCTACTCTTTATTATACCGATCCATTCAGAATCACTTTCTGCGTCGATTTAAGCTTGCCTGTCCGTCTATCTGTCTGATGTCCGTCCACGCATTTTTGTGTTCAACCTGCAGATCGCAATTTGTTAAATATTTTGTTGAAATTTGCTAGACTGACTATTGACAAACCCTATTAAAAATGGCTCTGACCATATAACGCCTTAGCTTGAAACGTCATTACATGCCAATATATTGTAATGTTTAGAATTCGATTTAAGAACTAACCTTACCGAATTTGGACCACTTTGGTCTATTTTCCGCATCCCAGCGCAGATAAGGCTTTAAGCTTTTATATAGCAAAAAAGTGGAAATTTTGATAAAAAGTGTTTTGCAATTTGTTATAAAACTTAACTGCATCAAATTTGGATTAAATTGGATATCATTCCACGGATTAAATCCGCATACGCAAAGGGATCACTTTTTAATGTATAATCAAAAATAATCCATAGTAAATAAATCGGTTCATTTTTTTAGACTCTACTGTATATAGGGGATCTCATGAAAGCAAGCTCTTCTACGGCGACAAAGTGTACTTTATAGTTTCTATGACGATTATCACGAAAATTAACGACCAGCTTAGTTAGGTAAAATGGTGTAGGATATACAAAGGTCGGCCATGCTCAACTCTAATGTTCTTACTTTTAGCACTACTTTCTACACCACTTGTACGGAATTGCTTCAGTTTTATACAGAATTTGTGTGGGAAGTTCTAATCACAACGCAAAAAAAAAAAACATTGTTAACAGAGAGGGTCAAAATTTGATTTATTTCTTTTTGATTAATATAAAAGTGATGGTATGAGATGAGAGGTGCGTCCACAGCTGTATACAATTTTCTTATTTATTTCTTTTTGAAAATATTTTTAAATCGGTAGACATTTATGCTGTGAATAACAAGAGGAAATATTTACATAGTGGTACGTAATATAATGCGAACATATTTTTAGTTTTCCAGTGAAGTAACGCTTCCTACAAGTTTCCGTCACAGAATTCCATTCATTCAAAATTTAAAAAATCTATGTTGGTTGAATTTTACTGGGGTAATTTATAGCGTTGCTTGCTTGAAAAAGTAAAGACTCTCTAACATTAGTTACGCTTTTACTTGGCAATCGACAGAAGCTCACAGGTTTTAGCGATAACTGCAACCATTTTGTTATTGTGGTTTAGAAACCTTGATGTCATCTTCCCTTGTGGTATTATTTTTTTTATTTTTCAACTCTGTTTGCTCGCGTGCCTAATTATCTGCTGCTGCTTTTTTCTTCTGTTTTAAAATCGTAAAATATCTTAGCGATTAGTAATCTTTAGGTTTTAATGAAGAAATGAAATACACATGA